TATCCAGTGCACATCTGAGTGATAAAACGCAGCGGGGGTGTCCCGAAGTTGCGAAACTGTCACCATGAAGTATCTAACAACCAAGAACTCTCGTCAAATCTGAGTATTGAGCGATCCCAGCAGGGCAATCAGGGCTACTTATGCCCCCCCACAGCGGCAAGAGTTACTCGGAGAGCACAGAGAATGCGGTTCGGATAGACGTTGATACCATTGATTATACAGCGTCGACGTCCGAACAGAGAGAGTTCATTGAAGGACTTGTTCGCACGGTTACGGAAGCTGCACGAAACTCAACTTTCACGCGCAGAAGCGGGTGGTCTTCGCATTAAAAACAACAACCTATTCACTAAGACACCCTTTGGTCTTTTTGAAGATGCCTTGAGACGAAATGATTCCTCGAAATCGCCGATCGCTCCGGCAGGTCCCGGCTGTGCAGCTCTTCTTGCTATCGACACCGAGAGCATTGAAATGCCAAGGAGGGGGACAGGACGGCTGTATCTGCAATGAAAATACCAACTAGAGCTTCAGTGTGCCTCTCCATTCATTAATGGATTAGCCATAGAATGGAATAAGCCACAGTAATCGGTGCTGCGAAGGCCGTGTTGCCCCTCACAAGAACCGCCACCAATCGTTGGATTGCCAGGCAACGTTCGCAAAGATTCCCCGTGTCCGATGCGAGAGAAGACAACTCGCGGCGCGCTTTCAACGTTGAAAACACCGGAAATAACTAAAAGATGGACCCGTCCCAGGCTTTTCTGAGGGCCATTTGTAGCCCGGGCTGGCCTCAATTGGTTTATCCATCTCTTCGGATGCGCCCGCACGCTTTAATGCCCTGGGGTCCGTAGGGCAGGCCCACTAACACTGAAATTACTGAAATCTATGGGTGAATCAAATGCCTTTCCCAAGTGTACTAATATTGTGACCTAAGGATAGGGACTAGTCCAGTGAATAGTGCTGGAATCGTCGTGGTCAGAGAGATAGCGCACCCGCGGTTGCACTCCCGATAATAGCATGGTGGAGGGTAGACTAACCGAAAGATTTACAGGTGGGACACGTGTTAGGCATAAATAGAGATCGCACAAGGAAGGAATGATGCTCGATGTTCATGGAGCATCAATGAAAACAATGTTATCGGGGGCTACTGACCGGCGGGCCCGAAGGTCCCTTCAGAGATGCCTGGGAAGCAAACCCCGTTTCCAGCCCGCAACTGCGACGGGAAGGCGCCTCCACCCTCCTGACAGGTATAGCCTGCCGGTGCTGGCAGAAGCTGAGCGAGGATCCACCCTAACGGACTACCGTCACTTCACATACATTATATATATATATATATATATATATATATATATATATATATATATATATATATATATATATATATGTGAAGTGACGAGTGATTCACACATGAAGCTTGAGAGCTGAAGGAAGGTCGGCTGTTTTTTGGCACTCTTACGTTTGGCCTTTGAGTCCACTGCAGCTCCTGACCGTCCTCAAATCAGATTGAGAACCCCGCCTAACTCGGCATCTCGCCGGTGTAATGGCCGAGGTCGGTCTTAAACAAAAGCAACTCCGAGCTTCACAGAAGAAACCCCAGTAAAG